TATATTCAACTGGAGACTAGATTGTCAAAAGTAGTAAAAAGCCCATCACTCAGATCATTTATAACGAGACAGAACAAGGCATTTGATCAAAGGCTGAATTAGCTGTCCTATGGACAGTGACCTACTACTTCTCCTCCAACACAAATGTCTTTCTTTCCCCCTTTGGGGTATCACAGTGTTTGATTAATTATGCTAATAAGCCATAGTTGACTGACACACACTTCCCCAATTAGCTGATCCCTCTGACAGCTGAAAAATTCAGAAGAGTAGAGTCCCCCCTCCCCGCAGTAGTCATTGCTAGACCTCTCTGTTTATGTCACTGCTTTCAGGACAAATCAGTCTCAAATTCCAGTGCAGATCGGTTACCTTGAGTCATCTAGTGATGAATGTAAGAGATGCCCTAAATTGCTCTGAGTGAAAGCACTGTCTAATCCTCTTCAGGCAGACATGTGGCAGCAGTGATGCAAGCAAATGGGAATCCTTGAGATTTTATAGGGGATGCAGACAACACTTATGGCAGGGAGAAATTCCTTTACTTGCCTATTAGCAAACATTGTTATGTGCTGCATAGGGAATTATGGAGTGAATTAAAAATGAGGCATAGGTGTGACACAAAATAATGGGCCAGGCCTCAGGTATTGTAAAATCACAGAATTATGGAAAATTAAGGTTGAAGGGACCTCAGGAGGTTATCTAGTCCAACCCCATGCTCAAAGCAGAACCATCTCCAGCTATGTCACCTCAAAAAAACCCAAACAAACAAACAAGCTCAGTTTCCAAGAAATGGAGCAGAATTACCAAAAGGGGCACCTGGATTTGAACCAGAGACCTCCTGATCTGCAACTATATGCTTCCACCAAACTATACCCTCTAGCAATGTGCCCCTTTGTTGATTAAGTTTTATGCTAGTTTATACCTGCTAAAGATTTTGTCCAGAGTTTTATCTTCCCTAAATCTTATCCCAGCTGTAGGGACAAGAACAAATTCATCCTGTCAGGGAGGGAGTAAAGCAACTTCTGATCTCAGTTTCTCTTTAGAAGCTTCATCCCTTTTTTATGTGTAGTCGGGCCTCAATTAACACGGTGGTTACATTCTCCCCCAGCTCCTGCCCCAATCCCTCCCTCACCATGGGAGGCATTATTCTGCACCCCCCATGCTCCTTCCTTCCACACTCCCCTTCCACCACAACACAACACACTTACCAGCTATACTGAGAGCAGCGTGGTGGAGGAGGGGCAGCAAGTGACCAGCTGATTCTAGATGCATCTGCACATCTTGGTGACTGTGCTGCACCGTGTAAAAGTGAATCCATACTGTGTACAAAAATAAAGCATTGCAATTAATTGACTGTGAATAACTGAAAACGTGCAAAAAGATACTGTGTAAATTGAGGCCTGACTGTATTGGCTAACACTCCAGCACAGACCTGAAAAAGGTCATCTTGTGATTGGATCTCTAAGGGCACTTACAGATGTTACATTTATCACATAATAAGCCCCCTGAAAGCACTCTACAGTTATAACAGAACAAACATTCACAGCTGCAGAGCACTCTTAAAATGGCTGATTGCACAAAAAAATTAACCCTCATTAAATCAGCTATTAGCTTAAGGTGCTCTTGGGCAAAGCGCCTTAGGGAACTTCTCTACAGGTTCCCTGCAAGGGTTAACTGCAGGTGATTCCACCCGCATCCCGTACACCTTTGTGGGGTTGGGCTGGTGCTCACCTGGGCAAGCACCAGCCCAGCCCCATCCCTCAGTCTGCCATGGGGAGGAGACAGTCTCTTCCATGTGCAGTGGAGGAGGGAGGGGGAGAGGATGGAGGGGGTTGGGAGAAGGTATCCCTCTTAACTCATTCATGCCTGGAGATGGGGCGGGGGTGGGATCTGAGCTCCCATGCCCATGGGCTCAGCCCAGCTACACCTGCTGGGGTCTTGTCTGGCGGGGGGGCGGGGGGTGCTCAGATAACTCCCCCACTGCCCACCCTAGCTCCCTGTGCAGCAGCAACAGCCACTGTTAGCTGCCAGGACCCTGGGTGGAGGGTTGAATCCAAGCCCACACACCACAGCCCCTGCTGGGGTCTCTTGGGGTGCCAGCCTGGGCCCGTGAGGTGGGGGTGGGACTCAGATTCAACCCCCCACTCCAACTCCTGTTTCAACAGCTCTGTCTCTCCCATCCATACAACTAGTCTTGTAAAAAAGACTACCCGTAAAAATCCTTGCCCCTCATATTTCTCCATTGTGTCATTTCAGAAGATAGTTCCAGCGTTTGAATTTCTGTGTTCATACAAAATATTAAACAGGGTTGGCTGTGGATATTTTAACATGCAGCCCCCATAAAAACTTCACCTGAAGCCTGATAAACCCCATGTACCAGAAGTTCATGTACTGGGAATACAGGAAGAGATAGGGATTGGAAAAATCTATTCATTTAAACAAGAACTCAGTTTCATAGCTGAGGAAGCAGTCAGAACTACTTAGCAAATAAACACATTGGTTGTCACATATTATAGATGTTTTTATGTTGTTCATGAAATCTATAATGGCAGGTAGCACAGTGTGTAGTTGGGATAACCTAAAGAAAGGAGGCATCTGGAATTATTTTCTTTTGCAAATTTATTTTAGAACTCACCTGCTATTTTTTTGCCATCTGGCCCACTACAGAAAGAAAGCTACCTCTTCTTAAGAGACACTGCATGAGGTCCAGGTACAGACTGATGAATTCAGCAATATTCTGAGACAGGATAATAAGCCTTTTGCATTGACAGAGCTCTAACAGGTGGGATCCTGGCTTACCCCTCCAGTTGCTGCCATAACTGTTGCTTTTGATTGTTTCTCAGCAGAGGGTGCATTTGACCTGGCAACCTACACCAACCACGTCCTGTAGCTCTGTGCCAATCCCCTGTTCCACTGCAGTCTCTGAGGAGGTCATAAAGTTTATAGTTTCATAGTTTCTAGGGTCGGAAGGGACCT